TCAAAGTTGTTGTGTTTTTAAGACAAAAGATGTTACTGTATAAGTTTTTCTAAACTAAAATCTGTATTCAGATTTAATTACAGTACAGTGTTGACATTTTGCAATCAATGTGTGAGTTTGGGGCTACAGTTTATTCAGTCTGTAAAAGATTTGCCATCAGTGGTCTAGATTTATTTCTCTTGTTAAGGGAATGCTTTAGGCTTAGACAGTTCTAGACAGTGACACGTGAGGTGAAGTCTGGGCAGTGCTTCTGCAAGGCTAGTCTTGCTTTTAAGAAGGCACACATACACAACTGTGCCTTTTCTGTCTGTAGGTGTGGTTACCTGCCTCTGACATCTGAAATGGCAAAAGCCATTTTTGGGCCCATGATAGCAGCCAGAATTGGAGAAGAAAGCAACACACTGAGAATAGGAGACAGCAGCCTTTGTCCTTGAAGCAACGTCTTCTGGTTATTTTCCAGTGTCTGTTTCCTCTTTCTTTAGTATTAGACTAATACCTCTCAGTACCTCTTGGTCGCACATTAATTTGTATCCTCCTTTTCTTATTGTAACTTATCTGCAATAGAGAGAATGCTGGTGCTTATTATGCAACAGATATTTGTTCAATCCTAAGTATATACAAAGTAATTTCATAGCTTCCAGCCCATGTATGCTGGTGGAAAAAAAATTTACAGAGTATAATACTTATATACAGTTCTTTTTGTCTTTAGTTTTGTAGCACACAATAAAAATACTACTTTCTAAATTCTTCAGTATAGTTAAATATTATTTAACTGTAATACAGTTAGGTTCACTTTTTTTTTTTTTTTTTTTGTGAAACGGGGGATGAACTCAGGCCCTTGCGCTTGCCAGGGAAGCACTTATTCCACTGAGTCTTCTCCCCAGCCAGGTTCACTTTTGAAAAGACTGCTTGCAATGAATTATTTTAGTTCTCTCTAGGGCCTGATTAATATTAGTTGTTTATTTATTTTGGAGAATGTGAAGCAGCAACATAGTTCTAAGAGTCAGAGCTATATCAGCAGGTTATACCTAGAGAAATAGCTCATGCCCTGCTAGCCTGTTCCAATGCTCCTTCTGTTTCCACCCTGCTTGTCTCCTGTGAGTCACCAGCCTCATTGGCTTCTGGTTTATTCTTGCTGGATTTATTTTGCACAGATGAAACGTCTTCTGTGTTCTTCTCTTTTTGTATAGGAAGGGCATATTGTTAGCCCTTTGATCCCCCTTTCCCCACATCTAACAGACTGGAAATTCCTTATTAACTTCATAAAGATCTGTATGCTTGTTTTATAGCTATATACTATCCCACTGTGCAGATTAATTGTATAAATAGTTAAGAAATTCTGCCATAAGTAACAATGTATATTTCCATTTTCATATTGTTGGAAGTATTTCCTCAGAGTTGATTAGATCTATGATTTAAAAAATGTCTTCTAATAATGCATATTAATGCATAATAATGCAGTGCTTAGCAATGTCCAGAAATAAACACTTCAGCAACCAATGAGCATAAACCAGCATCCAGATCTTGATTTCTAAATGCCTTTTCTCATTATAGGGAGTGACAGCTTCCTGGAGAAATGATAATTCTAGTTCTGAGGTAGGGAGAATATAAGAAAAAACCTGAAATATTTCCTGGTTCTAGAAAACAAGGAAGTGCTTAAAGACAAATTAGGCACATGAAAGCAGTGGGCAGTCGCTGACTCCAAGGGTCTCTTATTTGGCTAACTTAAGGACTTATGAGCATTAAAAAGAATAGGGGAAATAATGAATAACAACAGTCACGAATTGTTTTTAAGATTCTTGAATCCATAGTGATACTCAACAAAGGTGTAAAAGAGAATGGTAGCTATAATTATAATTAAAATTATAGAATTATTTTAAAATCCCTATTTAAAATAATTACTGTAAAATTGCCTCAGATAAGGATGCCAGCGATACTAAAATCATTAGTTGAAGGGCTGGCAAGAGAGCTCAGTGAATTAAAGCACCTGCTTAGGCAGACACAGGGACCAAGGGTTCCACTGATCCCCGGCATACAGTGCCAGCCCTGCCCCCGGGGTGCACTGGATGGTGATTGAAACTGGGCGTGGTGTCATACATCTGTAATCCCAGCTCTTAGGGGGCTGAAATCAGGACGATCACGAGTCTGATCTTTGTAGTGAAATCCTGTAGACCCTGTACTAAAAAATACATAAAAATAAATAGATAAATATCATTAGTTGAAAGGTTCTTGGCCAACAGTACAAAAACAAACCCAAAAGCTAATATGTTGCAGTTATGTTTTGAAGCTTTTGTGTAGTGCTGTCTTGGAGTATTTTTCTAGTGAGTACATATTAATTACAAAGGGAAAGTATTTTTAGAAATCAATTTTTAATTATTTTCAATAAATACTGAATTACATATTTTCCTTCCTCTCCTTGCTCCTCTCCTCTTCCTTCTCCTCCTCCTCCTCCCATTCTTCCTCTTTTTTTCTGGAATCCATTTCAGCAGATTCTACAGGAATCCACTATACTTTTTTTTTTTTTTAAATGAAAGGGTTTCTTAGGTTGGAATAGGAGCTGAGAATTAGCATAAAGGAATACCAAGTGAAAAGCAGAACATACTGTTTTGTTCTGTGGACTTGGTTCATAATTAGAGGGGTGAGATAAATTGTCTTCCAGTTGTCCATTATTGTTGGAGAGTGCCATTCTGTTGAACATAGTCTCCCTTAACACCTAATGCAAACTTGGTTTACAGAGTCCTCAGTGCTGAAGTAGCCATAACAGCTACCCTGTTCCCCCAAAATAAAATCTACCTGGAAGTCGAGCCCTAGCATGATTTTTTCAAGATGCTTAGACTAGAATAGGATAGAATAAAACACTTATAAAGCCCTCCTTTAAAAATAAACCCCAGTTAAGATTGTCAGTCAGACGGACACGTGTAGTACATCTGTTGTAACACATGATGGATATATTGAATTAATGCATTTCTGGGCATAGTGGGGCATGCCTGTAATTCCAGAACTTAGGAAGCTGAGGCAGGAGGATGCCACAGGCTTGAGACCAGCCTGAGCTATATAGTGAGTTCAAGGCCATTCTGAACAGTGTCATGAAACTCTGTCTCAACAAGACAAAAAAAATTGTACTAATGCTTAAAATAAATGACAATATAAACTGTAACTGAAGACATGACCTGGATGAAGGATCCCTGGGTAAAATCACCAGCAGCTGTGTTGACAATGTACTCGATGCCCCAGCCTCATGGATGAGAAGTGCTCCTTCAAGGAGACTGCTGCTGTTGGACCTGAGATTGGGGCCAGTGGTCCTACAGGGATGGAGTAACAAAAACCCAGAGCTGCTGCGCTGTGAAAGGCTCAAGTCAACAACTTCTGTCATTGCCAGTCTTACGGAAAACCCACTACTATTATGGACTACTGGCCTATGTTGGAATATTTTGCTGAATTCACGCAGTTATAATATTTAAATGATGATGGAATACCCATCTCTGACAAAACTAACCAAAAAGGGGGGATGCAAATGAACGACCATTTTGTATCTGTATACTCAAAATAGGATATACAGCTGCATTCTCTTAATTCAATGAATAGAGAGATTTGATTTAATAGTGTTTGTGGACAGGATATCATATCTGCATCTCGTACAGTGAATAACCACTAAGGCAACAATATGCAAAATATTAATTATTGAAACTGTGCTAGTAATCGGTTTTGAAACTGTCTCATTGCTATTTGTTTCTCAATAAAATTATTTTTTTAAAAAAAAGAACTCAGGGCTAGACCTTGGAGTTTGGAGAGTTGTGACAATGCTCCAAAAGATTTTGGCTGTTTGAATCAATGTAGATTGCCATACCTGAATAAATGACTAAATGTAGATTGTTGTACATGGTTAAATGTAGATTATTGTATAAGTAGTAATAACACATCCCCTAAAATAAGCCATATTGCATCTTTCAGAGCAAAAATTAATAGAAGAGTCTCATTGGGGGAAATACAGTAACTGCAATATGGAATGCATAAGATTTGGTAGTGATAGGTGAGAGATCCATTTTGATTTTGGAATGTCAGTGGAAAACAAAGTAGCAGTAACCTCAGGCAGTTAATAATTCTTCAGACTTACAGATTTGTGAAGTCAGCTGGGAGGTCCTGTGTGAAGCCATCAGAATGAACTGTGTTAAGGGGGTGCAGAGAGGGGAGCTGCTTATGGTGAGCAATTAGCAGAGCATGGATCTGGTCATTGGGATGCTAGAGGTGCTCTAAGAAGAACCAATCTGTAGAGAGCATGGCAGCAACCAAATGCAAGAGAAAACAGGAGTGAAGCATGGGCTGAAGTGGGTCAGTGTTTCTAAAGAGCTGACAGCCCAGTTGTAGACAGAAAGAAAGCAAAAAGGAAGAAATTAATATTTTTAAGAGGTGCTGCCTTTCGCTTTTCATTCATAATTGTCTGCAGCCTCAGTTACTGCCAACATCCACCCAGACTGTGAATTATGATTTTCCTCAAATATTTGCTACTGGACTGAAACTGTAGACCTCTACAGATGTAGTGGGAAATGTTGCCCACTAGATGTTGAGCTAGTTAGAGTATGATGACTCTCCAATTTATATTGCTCTTCTTGATACAAACTTTGCTTATCTAATTTAAATTGTAAACCTGCTCATTATATATATCAAAAATATAGAATGCCCTCTTTACTAACATGACCTAGGCTTTACAGTGGAAAAAAAAAGATGCTTAGTGCATAAATGTCGATTATTTTACCTACTACAGCTGTATAAATGTTGCCAGCATGCCTATGCCAATGGGTAATGGTCCTAGAGGAAGCAGGTGTTTGAACACCCAGAATAATGCAGTATATGGTGTGTGTGTGTTGCTGTCACTAGGTAGTGCTGTAAGCTTCTCTGAGAGAGTGTGTATGAGGCGGGCCCGTTTATGTGTGTGTGTTTTCCGTTGGAATGTTGCAGTACATCGTCTGTCACTGTCTTCGCGCTCTGGGGTGGGCTGAGGCAGGGAGGGTGTGACGCTGGTGTTTGTGTGAACTCGAGCTGGTGATGCTGAGCGTGGTTCATCCGCTTTCTCCTCCCTTTCCCTCCCCACTCCTTCCTCTAGCGCCACAGCAACATCCTCAGAGTCTCAGCAAGCTGCGCCCAGTGCGGGCACAGAGCCTGCCACCGCCAGCCACAGCCAGCGCAGTGACAGTGCCTCGCCGCCCCCAGCCCGCGGACCACCATGGCCAAGAACCGCAGGGACAGGAACAGCTGGGGTGAGTAGGCATTGGTAACTTCTGCAGCCCGCCCTGGGGCTGGCCTCTGCTTTTGGCTTTCGAGGACCAAGGAGGGCCCAGGGCTGTGTGGTGCCAGCGTCCACGGCTGGGAGGGGGCTGCTGCTGAGCTGGATGGGCCGGGACAGAGGAACCATGGCCGAGCGGTGTTGGGGGATCTCTGCTGGGGGCGAGGGCTGCCGCTGCGGGGTACAGACCAGGCCTGCGTGGCCCCTCTTCCCGCGCCCGCCTCCGCCCAGCATTTGGACAGCACCCACCCGGCGCCTGCGCCTGCGGGGACTCTGGGTGCCGCCTTAGGGACTGGCTGGAAGGATGGCGCCCGTAGTGGGCAAGGGGCTGTCGCTGCCCTGCAGAAAGGGGCCAGCGTCTGATCTCCAGCAGGCAGAACCCCAGCCCCCCCTTCCCGGGCACGTGAGCTGCCGGCCCAACGGGGCTCTGGGCAATGTGTTGGAACAATGAATCAGACAAGGGGCACCCTCTTAGTAGTCCCTGCTGCAGTGTTTGTTTTTTTTTTTTTGTTTGTTTGTTTGGGGTTTGAGTGAGGGGATTTTGGAAAAAGGAAAGCAGAGTTGTGGTTTCTAGCCTTCTGCTCCACCCGCACCAGCTGCCCCATTCAGACGCGCCCCCCATCCCACCCCCGCTCTGTGGCTTTGTTCTTTGATTTTACCTTTTGGAGATGCTGGGCTCATGATTCAGCACCAGGCCAAGGGAGGGGAAGGGAGAGGCTAGGCCCAGTGGGTTCAGGAATGGGTGGGCGGTGCTCACGCAGGCGGAGAAGAGCCGGCGCGGCCATGCGGGAGAAGTCGGCCCCGCCCGCCGGCTCCGCTGCTCCAGACCCGGTTCTGGATGGTGAGTGTGGGCAGGTTGGGCGCTCTGGGCTCCTGATTTTACTCGCAGGCTTAGTGCTTAATTTACCAGCAATCTAGGAACCAAAAGCCATTTTATTAACGGAACCAGGGCGGGTCTCAGACTACTGTGGCTTGGTGGACAGAGAACTATTTTGTTAGAGCTGAATTATTATTTTGAAAGATCACACTCTTAAGTGTTCAGAGCTGTGCGATTCTCTTCAGTGTCTAGTGAGATCCCTTCTATTAACTGTTTCACCAAAAGGCATAGATGTTAACTGGTTGTTCGATTTTATTTTTATCGAAAAGTCACCCTCCTCCTTGTTTTTGGTTTTTCACAAGGTCACAGGATCAAATTGACCCCCAAATAGCAAGGTTTATGTCTGAGAAATTATCTGAGCTTTATGGAAGCAGTGGAGTGGGAGCAGGGAGCTCTTTCTTTGGTCAGCTGAGTTTGAGAAAGTAGTTCTATTTTCAGAAATCATCAATCCCCCATTTTAGTAGACGTAACTACTGCAGTAAACTGTTTTCTTTACTTCTTTTCAGTGTCCCCTTTCCACCCTTTCCCTTGACCTGTGGAGGAGTTTCTTGAATATTCTGAGTTAAGATACAGTTGTTCAAGTCATTCTTAATCTCTGTGGATTGCTGACTCCCACCTATTAAAAGAGAGGCATGTGGAATTTTATTCTGAGGATATTTTTTTACTCTTTTGTGATGGTTTGATCATTATTCAGTATTTGGTTACAGATTTCTTCAGTAACAGGACCCCTACCCCCCATACACACTTTTGAGAATGTGATTCTCACATGGGATTGCATAAACATCACATTAAGAACTTACTGGAAGTACAGATTCCTGCACCTTATAGTCAGTTTTTTACCAATAGATCTGAAGTAGGGCCTCGAAAGCTTTCTTTTACTTAGAAGTAGAAGATCTTTAGATGTTAGTTTGAGAAACACTATTTTAGCTCATTTATGTGTGATAATCATATCTCAGTCTATTCAAGAGTCCTCAGAAAGTTCTAACTCAGGTAATATATTAGGAAAAGAAATGCCAGAGTCATTGTATACTCACTGGAAATTTTTACAGAAAAAGACATAGTGGAATTGTGGTATTTTTAACTTGATGTACTATAGAAATTATTTATAATGTGGATTTTTGTTTACCTTGAGGTATATATAACACAAATGATTTAAAATTGTAATATACAACATAGGAGATAGAAACTTTATCAAATATGTTAGCCATGTCTGTCATTTTCTTACCTGTACCTAGTACAGTATCTGACGAAATTGGGTACATTCAGGGTGGTGTGGTTGTATACCCTAGTACAATATCTAACACACAGTAGTTACTAATGATACTGATATCATTGAGCTAATATCATATGGGGTAAATACTATAATCTTCATTTTATATGTTAAAAGGTAGTACTAGTAAATGATAGAACCAAGGTTCCATCTGGCAGCTTAAGTTTTGATTCTTTTATCTTCAGCTTCACTGTTATTCTATACTGCTTCTTCAATGAATGGACAATATTTTCTGTGTTGCATAAAACTAGTTTTCAAAGTGTATTCACCTGTGTTGTTGTATTTAGTCTAGAGCTTCTTTAGTAATTATATGTCTAGGACATATTATTCCCTGTTTTATAGATTAAAAACGAATAAAACCCAGGTTGGTTATGTGAATAGGCAAAAGTCATTTGCTAAAGGACTGAGGTTTGAAAGTAGAGAGGTTCTTGGTTTGTAATTTACTTTCTGTAACGTGATAATGTAAGTGTTTTCATAAAAGAATTGGGCTTTTATAAAAATGTGTGAGGGTAATAGAGAGAAATAGGCCCTTAAGAAAGCCAGAGGTTTCCAATGAAAAAACAGTCTGGTGATAGCCTAAAAAAGAAGACAGTGAGAACTTCGTGAGATAGAATAGAAGAAATAAAGATAGGTAGAAAGTAGATAGGGAAAGTCAATTTTTTGTCTCCCTTTTTACCTGAAAAATCTGAGTCAAATCCCTGTTCAACTCGGCACGTAGGGATGTTAATCATTTAAGAAAAATAAGCAAAACAAGTGTTTTTTATCCCTACATTTGCCTAATCTATCCTAGTCATCCTTCTTCAAGCCTAAGAACACCAAGATAAGAGTAACAAGAAATCTTTGAGGGATACTTATTTGCACTTTGTTCCAGAACCCCTAGAAGTCTTCAAACCTCAGATTCCAGGAGAAGCAGATATTTGCAGTATCTTGTAGGGCAGTGAAACTGGCATTATTCTTACTGAAGAGCAAGAGAATTGGTAGGTCTTGCCAGGATCCTGGAAGCTAGAAAAGAAAAGGCATTTCTGCTGTCCACCAGAGTTGGGGGTTAGTGTTTGAAGAGACACAACTAAGAAGCAGTTGTGTAAACTGAACTGAGACTCCCCCCCACTCCTATACCCACATCAGTGCTTAAGTGTGAAGCTGGGCAATGGGGGCACATACCTGTACCTGATCACACGGGTTGGGGGGCTGATGCAGGCTAGGCAAATAAGCAAGACAGCAAGACCTTGACTCAAAACAAAACAAAGTTTGGAGATATAGCTCAGCATGAAGGTCCTGGCTTCAATCCTCAATACTGGGGTGGAGGGTGGGAGTGGAGTTTGAGTATCTGTAAGCACTTAAAAGTCAATTCTAAGAAGATAAGACTTATTATTCCTATTTTAATATGTAAAGAATCAGAGATTTGAGAGCGCCAGAGACGTCAGAGGTACCATAATTCCAAGTCAGTGTCTAAATTCAGGATTAAATACTTCCAGTCTATGTGATGAGAACAAGAAACTAGACTAGCATGCCAAGAGGTGTCACAATGAGCCAATCTAGTATTCAACTGATAGAGGAAATCAATTCTCTATAAACTTGATCACTTGGGTCTAGAAAAATAGGCAAAGAATGTGCTAGTGTGGAAAATAAAGGGGACAGATGCGTATCAGAAACAGTAGCCCAGAAAGCAGTCTTTCAGAGCTGGTCTGGAACTTGCGTACCACCAGAAATGAAACAGAGGCTCACACTTTTCTGTTTCTGTTAAAGTTTCTCAAAAACTAATGCCACGTGGGAATTTGGGTTTTCTACAGTTTGACCGAAGCTGACAATGCAATATTGACTTAGAAAACTCATGTTTGCACTACAGTGTCAGCTCTGCCAGCCTTAAATAAAAAAAAAAAACAAACTAAAAATGAAAATAGCCCTACCTTATCTGCACAATGAATATAGGAAATATCCAATTGTTGAAAAGGTATTTTTGGAAATTAAGTTTTAGGTTTTTGATTTGACTTTGAGGAAAGATTGGAAACAATCCCCTTGATCTTCTTTCTTTTCTAATTGGCTGATTTGTGTTTTTCTTAAAATGAGAGTGTGTTCCTTTTAACTTACCTCATTTTCTAAACATTTCATCCTCCTAAGACAAAATAAAATTTCTAATATACTGTCTGACATTACCGTAGATTTCTTTCTCACGTTTTTCTCATTTAATTTGCGATACCTGAATTTTTTTTCAAATACTTTTTATACACTGAATATATGTCTTGATGACTTGCAGGCTACATTTTTGCCCCTTTCAGAAACTCTGTGCCTCATTATCTTTACAGCCAGACTAGACAGTGGGCTAGAAGATGCAATCACTGGACAAGTGACCCGCCAGAAGATACTCCCACTGGTACAAAACATTAGAGGGTTTTCCCTTTTATGTAAAAAATTCTTATGAAAGGTCTTTATATACAAAAAAAAAATGTGAAATACGCATGTTCAGTTTAAATAATGAGCACCTGGGTATCCTATTGCCCAGCTGAAGTAATAGACTTTTCTCAGTAGTTTGCCATTTCTTATGTCTCCTTAACAGGAACCATTTTTATAAATTTAGTGCTTTTATTCCCCTGGTCATTTTTATAATTTATTATAAATAAACATATATGCCCTAAATAGTATATTTTATTTAGTTTTAAAATATATTTTTTGTTTAGTTTTGTGTTTTACTTTTATTTAGTTTTGTGTTTTACATTTATTTAGTTTTTTTGTTTTTTTTTTGAGCCGGGGCATTTATTTAGTTTTAATTTTATTTAGTTTTGTGTTTTAAAGAACCTAATATAGGGCCAGCCAGATAGCTCAGCAGATT